GGAATGGGCAAAGAGCTGCACAAGAAGTAAAAATAACTAATGCTACCATTTTTGCTTGACTACCTCATTATAGATAGCACAAAGGGTAACCATATTTTTTCCTAGCAGATACTGAAGTTACCAGGATCTCGCTAGCAATGAGTAATGAAAGATCTTTAAACAGAAGCTTCCTTCCTATGTTTCATCCTGTGTTTGATTATATCCTTTTTAATACGATTGGTTTACTTTCAGTCATATTGAAATGACTGAAATGAAACTGAGAGCACTGTCCTGAAAAGGAACCCACTGCTTGTAGCACCATTTTCCATCCATCTGGATGCTGCAGGTACTGAAGGCTGGTGAAAATGTTGCAGACGAGAATCCTTCTGTAGTCCCATGGAGTCGCACTACACTCTTTTGGTACAAGTACCAAAGACAACAAGCCAAGGTGAGGAGGCACAGCCAGTCATTGGATAGGGCATAGCTAGCAAAGGAAATACCACTATTGGCAAGTACTCATTTGTCTGGTGATGTTATTCACCCCTTACTTGCCAAGTACTATTCAGTGAGCTATTCAAAGGTAATTGATCGCTGGCCTGTATGGTATCTGAGCAGTTGGAAAAATGGGGCAGATCCCATAAATAGCATATTGAACCCAAGCTGCCTCAGGAGCTGAATTGGTGTCACTGCCGCAGATCCTTTCCTGCAAAATCAAGCTGTCTGTGAAGTCATTTTAAGCACTGGTGTTAACCGGACCTGGAAAGTCAAAGGTACAAAACTAATTGCAAAGCTTTGTCCCTGAACATCTGATGAAAGCTCTGCATGTGTGCATACAACTGCAGCCTAAATTTGGCCATGGTCTTGTGGCTCCTTACTGGCAGCAGCAGCAGCTTTGGCAAAGGAGAAGACCAAAGTCACAGGTAGTCAGAAAGCTGTGCTCGGTAATGTGCTGCTGCTGCTTTCTTTCTTCTCATGTTGTAAAGATTGGTGTTTGCTTAAAATACTCTGTCTATGTTGGGTGTTCATCCCTTTGGCAGATAAGGAGACGTAGGACCTCACATTTCTGGTGTTCAGAAGCAGCTGCTTGTCATCAAATCTTGCCCTTAGTCTCTTGCTCAAACAGAATAAGTTAGTGAAGCTGGCTGTGGGACTAGTAAGGGGTCTCCTAGAAGAAGTTCAGCAGGATGAGAGGAATACCAAAGAGAAAACTCTCTGGATGTCCATTTGATTAACCAAGGTTGCTCAGACACCATAAAGAAACCTCCATTTGATTAACCAAAGTTGTTCAGACACCGTAAAGAAACCTGGGACTGGCATGCCTCGTGTGCCAGAAATGTCTCTTCATGTAAATCAGAACTTAAACTGTGTGAGGGACATAAAATGGGCTTGTAAGCCATCAGAGGGAATGGATACATGGCAACAGGCCATACCACCACCTCTTGGAGCAGCTCATGACTGCCTCAGCAGGTGCCAAAGAAGATGAAGGATGGAAAGGGCTAATGGGCTGGTCTTTAAACATGATTTTGCAGCTCACATTGCTGGGCTACACGTGCCAAGAATCTCAAACCTGAAGGCAATAAACTAGAGTGGAGTAGGAGACACAAGAAGCTAAACAGGCTTTGCCAGGCTGGCTGCTTGAGAAGCAGGAGGATTTCCCTGGTAGGTCTGCCACTGAGAGTCTTTGCACCAAACCCCCTTTGGAAAGGGGGCAAAAAGAGTGAAGTCTTGTGCATCTGCCCTTGTGGTAAGTCATGCCTGACTTGTCAGAGCTGTGTAGGGAAGCAAGTTTTCCTTTCTGGTGCTGGAATACCCACTGAGCAGGAGGAGGTGTGGCCTGGGGAGAGCTGGGAGCTGAGGGGGGTCTCAGCCTCAGGAGCTCATCACACCCTTTCCTGGCCAGAGGTGTTGATCTCCCCGTTTTTGTGCAAATGGCTCCTTCCCACCACCTCCCTTCCGAAAGCTGGGAAGCTTTTTGTTCCTTGGCCTGTGCTGCAGACACTTGTCTTGGCCTTCTAAGGAGGATTCTGTGATTCTAATGGCTGAACCCTATGCACTCACCAGGATGATCCTCACAAGCCAAAGGGAAGGGCTGTGCAGTGCTGCCAGATTGTGAGAAGTGTCTAAGCTTGCTCTTCCTGCCCCTCCTTGAGGCTAGGGAAAGAGCTTAGCAAGCCTGCTGAGATACCCCCTTGGCACCGGGCAGCCAGTACAAAAGGTGTGGGTATGAACCAGGGCTCCATGCTGCACATCTCCTGAGACCAGGGAACATTTCTCTGCTTTCCATGTTGCTTCAGCATCAACAAATCTCTTCACAGATGGAAGATTAAATGCCTGCTACCTATGTCCTCAGGCAGAGCCGGCCAGTGTTTTGTCATGGCTGGCTGTCAAACAGGAGGGAGAGGGCTTCAGTGGGGCTTTAAGCAAGGCAGAGTTTCAAAAGCTGCAGCAAGTGCCTCTTGGGTTAATGGAAATGGAATTGAGTGGTGATGAGGGACAAGATGAAAGTTGGGAAGTTAAAAGCTTTTCTTAACACATCAAGTTATGTCCATCAAATCCAAACATGTTAAGTTAGAAAATCAGGTAAGTGTTCTGTGGTTAACTATCCCAAATGAACAATACTTAAATTTCTTCCTTACACTGATCTAGTTACCTGCCTGTGGAGAACCTCATTGCAAAGCATTATGTATTCAAAAAGAGATTTAGTTGTCTAGCACCTATTGTAATTAATTTGTGGCCAATTAAGGGCTGCAGAACTTGGCCTGTAATTAGGATATGACAGCCTATGTTACACAGATTTGGAAAGCGATGGCAAAGTGTTATGGCTATGGAGCAGATGTTTAAAAGCCTTTAAATAGCATGGATGTTGTCAGAGGCTGATTTAATGAGTTGCTCTTAAAGTCATGTGCTGAAACTCTTCCTGAAGGTGCCCAGCTAATCGTTGAAATGGCTTCTCCCCTCAAGTCTGGTTGGCCTTGGAAGAGGCAGTCCTGTATTAGAGCCTGGCAGGGTGGGAATTAAAGGAGAGAACAGGCTAGACATGCAAACCAAAAAGCTCCAAAGCTGTCAAGACCAAGGAGGAAGTTTAGGCTGAGATTTGGAAGGTAGCAAAGATAAATTCTAAGTGGTAGAAGGAGGTACTCTTGGACCAGATACTTGGTGTAGGTATGCACATATCAAAGAGGGAGGGAGGCAGGCACTTTGGGAACAAGGCTGGAGGCAGCTAACAGGATTTGAAGGTCTGTTTTGCTGAAGAGACTCCATCTGTGTGCTCCATCCAGCATCTGACTGGTCAGGCTTTTGTGGGATCTGAAGAAACTGCTGAGAAACCAAGCAAGAAACTCAGCCATGACCCTGAGAGGAAAACTTCCAAAGCAACCTGAGGCATATAACATGCAGAGACAAAAGGATGGGTGGTTTGGGTGACAGTGAACATGGATCTGCTTACAAAAGTAGAACACAATTACCCTGCATTACATTTATTGCTTTGCTTTCCAGAAAATTGAGCTTTTTGTTGCTTTCCTGCTTGTGTTTCTCTAAAAGGGAAATAAAACCATTGAAAGCAGAAACTAGCCGTTCCCCTTGATTTACTATCGGTCACCACAGAGTGTGGAGACCAGGCCTGCCAGCCTGGACTGGGATGGAGGATTGGGCATGCCTGTGCCCCACTGCTTGGACAGTGGTTGCTCACAAGCCGTGAAGTATATATAATATCACAGTGCCCTCTTGGGGGAGGGTGTTCCTTGGAAATAAACCTTTATGATTTATGTGCTGCAGATACCCTTGCTCGCCACTGTTTATTCTAGGAGCCCATGCTGCCTAGCTAAATCATGGATTTTCCCACCAAGCGCTGCCCCTTTCTAAGGGAGAGCTCAGAGTTTTGCACTTGGATTTTTATTCATTTATTATTTCTCTGCTGCTGATGTGTACTTTAAATGTAAAACCACAGAAGTGAGGGTGAGCTGCTCCTGAGTGCAGATGGCAGTCTGTGCTCAGAAATGAAACCTGCCTAGTTTAAACACTTTCAGATGACTCGGCCCCAGCAAGAAACAAATTGTTTTAACAATAGATTTAATTAGCTGGTGTTTGTATTCCTTCACAAAGTGCCTGAGTCCCAGTGTGCCTGCTGGTAGACCTGTCTGAAAACCCTGGCATCTCCTGCAAAGGAGTGTGAAGAATGAGTGAAGCATTAAATAAGGACATGGCAATTCCCTGCTGGCTCCTGATGCCCTACAGTTGCTGTTAATGCTTTGAATATTGGGTAGCTAAGACCAAATGCTTTGCCTGTGTTTCAGTGGCCACTCTGACTCTGAGAAATAAGCAAACTAACTAACAGAAATTTTTATTGTAATGTAGACTTATCATTTCCCTGATTCCTTATGTTTGTAGGATTAGGAAAGAACATTTGTTTTAAGGAAGACACAAATGACAAGCTTTTGGTATTTGTGATGATTTTTCCTGCATGTACGCATACAAGATTGGATGTGGGGTTCTGGGGTTTGGTTTAGTTGTTTTATACAGGGGGTGGTGTAGTGTTTTGTTTGTTTTGTGTTTTACCTGAATTGTTTTAAAAAAGCCCACCTGTGGTAAGGATTCAGTTGAAAAAGATGCATCATCTGGCAGATAAGTCTATGACCCTAAAATGCTGGTTTCTCTTAAAAGCCAGACTCTTAAGACTGAGGAGGAGGGCTTACATACCTTTTCTTTCTCTAGATCTAGTTTACTTCATATCAGAAATAGAGTTTTCCTAGATGCCAGGCCTGAAAACTTGTTCTGGGCTCTAACAGTCAGTCTTCCGTGTTGCTGCTTCTCCCCCTCCCTCCTCTTGTGTCATTATCTCCCCGTTACAGGGCAGCAGCCCTTGGACATCACCCAGCTGTATCAGTCAGCACAATGAATTGGGAAGACAGAGTGTGGGCAAAGAAATCATGGTGTGAAGAACACATCCAATGAGGTGCTGTTGGAAAATGTTAGAACAGACCTCCTGTTTTCCTTGATCAGATGCCCTTTTATTACTCTGGGATGGGGAAGAAATCCCTGAAATTTCTGAGCACACCTTGCTTTTTATGCTGAAGCCTTTCCCCTTTCAAAGACAACTCTTGGCCTCTCCAACTCCCTGCTTCGCTTTCTAAGCTCCCACGAGGTGGGAAGCAGCATTTCCTCTGTGTTGTCTTTGTTTCCTTGGTTCTTGCTTGTTCCCAGTCTGTATAAAGGTTATCAGCTGCTTTCATTTTACTATTTAGTGGCTATGTTTGAGGGGGCAAGTTGTTTGATTGCTACTTACTGGATCTGGCTCTCAGCTTATAAGTTCAGCAAGATTTAACTGCGTGGCCCGAGATGGTTTGTGCCAGGCAGGATTAAAGCTGAGTATTTTAGGAAAGTGTATTTTAGGAAAGTATCATTTCTGTGGACAAGGGAAGAGGAGGAAAAACCTATTATTTGAGAAGCTGTGATATTCTTACAGGGCAAGGCCTTGGCATCTGGAGGAATGGTACCTTCTGCTAGGGACATGGCTTAGATCTGTTCAGTTCTGGCCAGCCTGCGAGCCTTGAGACCATATAGTCAGCAAAGCCCAGCCAATGGCCTGCCCTGCAGGCAGTGGCTTCAGGCACAGGGACTGGGGTGAATGAGAGCAGGTTCTCTTCCTGCAGCACTGGCTCTGGGCAGCCAGCCTCTGCCACAGCATTCAAAGCCTCTGGTACATAGGTGCTCCACCTCAGGAGCAAGCTTTGAAGTTTGAATGGCAAAAACCTTTTGCACATCTTCACACATACACCCCCATTGCTTTACTTACGCAGTTGAGCAGGTGTATGTAAAGTTTATTCGGGGGGGTTGACACAAAATATTTGCAGGTCCCCCTTCAAACTCACAGCTTCGAGAGAACAGTTTTTACTTTGTGTTTGAAAAGGTAGTGGGTTCAACCTATTTTGCTGTCCCATCAAGCCTTCATCAGCAGGATTGTAATGTTAGCATAGTAAGCAGGTGTTGTGTTTCAGCTGGGATAGCGTTCATTTTCTTCCTAGTAGCTGGTGCAGTGTTGTGGTTTGGATTCACTCTGATAACACACTAAGGATTTAGTTGTTGCTCATGAGCACTTACCCTGAGGAAGGACTTTTCAGTCTCTCATGCTCTGCCATGAGGGGCATGGAAAGCTGGGAAGGAGCAGAGATGGGACATAGGACCCAAACTAGCCCAAGGAGTATTCCATACCACAGCACATGATGCCCAGTATATAAACTGGGGGAGTTGGCTGGAAGCTGGCAATCACTGCTCTGGTTGGGCTGGGCATCGGTCAGTGGGTAATGAGCAATTGTACTGTGCATCACTTGTCTTTCTGGGGTTTTATTCCTGTCTTCCCACACACACAAGCACCCTCATTATTATATTTTACTTTATTTCAATTATTAAACTGTTCTTATCTCAACCCATGGGTTTTACCTCTTCTGACTCTCCTCCTTATCCCACTGTGGAGTGGGGGGAGTGAGCGAGTGGCTGCATGGTACTTAGTTGCTGTGACATGACAGCAGGAGTGCAATGATGGCATCTCTGGGCTCTTAGGGAGTGCTATAATACCAGCAGCAGTGTGAATCAGTTTGCCAAGATAGTGAACATTTTATTCCTCACAGGTATGTGGATGGCAGGTAGGTGTGACAGCGAGAGGCATCAGTGTAATCATTAAGATGGTAATGTCTCCTGCCAGCTCTTCCTTCCCTCAGAGTCACTCCAGTGTCCTGAATGCACAGGGGGCATGGAGGAGCAATGAGGCAGGGCTTCATCAGTAGCTGTCAAATGCAGAAATAAATAACTTCAAGTAATGTAACCTCACTCAATTCGTATCTGCTTGTGCTGGCCATACCTTGTATTTACGTGTTAAAATTTAAATGAGCACACAGTTCTCCAGGCTAAATCTGTTACCAGTGATAACATTTCTACTGTAGTTTGTTTTGTTGCACCTCAAGAAAAGCAGCTGATTGGAGTGATTTATTTTCATTCCCAAGGAAAAAAATAGCCTTAGAGCCTTTGTGAGCTCTAGAGCAGCAGCAACCACAGTGCTGGGAAGGCCCTATCTGCAAGTCACGGAAACAGCTGAAAAAACTTTCTCATCACTTCCCAGATAGGCTTTTGCTATAGGATGCAAATAAGAGTCTCTAGGGTCCTTCTTTTCTACATGGGAACACTAGCAACAACCTTGGCACAATTTAAGAACTGTTTGTCTCAGTCACTGGGTAAGATTTGGTTGACTGAAGAGGTTGTAGGAAGCACAAGGGCATGGGAATGGGGGGGGGAGAGGAGCCTGGGACTTGGAAGGGGTAGTATGTGGGGTGACCTACACCTGTGTCATGATGGGTGCCCAAGCACCCCTGAATTTCATTTCACACAAATAAGTGTGAAGTGAATTGTTACCTTGTGCACAACTCATATGTCTGCGCCACACACAGGTCATGACTGTGGTGATCCTACGTGGAATGTTATCTTCATGGTATGGGGCTGAGCCTGGCATGGGTGTCCAGGCCCCAAGGTGATTTAGAGGCAGCAGTCTTAATGGTCCTTGTGACTCCATCCAGACTGAGATTTGGATCACCCTGTGGTAGCCTAGTCATGCTCGTCACTGTGGCATGAAGATCCAAGAGAGGATCAGGCTTCAACTGCCTCACCAGCCACATAACTCATGAGCCTCAGACTGCACCCTACAATAAGCAAAAGGGTATTTGGGAAAGTGGTGGAAAAGGGCCACAGAAAGGACCAGCATGATGTGTTTGTGGTGTATGTAAAGCAGAGCAATTTTCTGCAAGTACTGACTTGTGTTCTTGGAGGAGCAGGCTAGTGTGCATGGATATTTCCAGAGCCTTATAGAATCATCTAGGTTGGAAAAGACCTTTAAGATCATCAAGTCCAACCATTCCCTAGCACTGCCAAGTCCACCACTAAACCATGTCACTAAGGGCCTCAGCTATATGAGTTCTGAACTCTTCCAGGGACAGTGATGCCATCACTGCCCTGGGAAGCCTGTTCTGATGCTTGGCCACCCTCTTGGTGAAGAAATTGCTCCTTATCTCCAGTCTAAACCTCCTCTGGTGCAGCTTGAGGCTGTTTCCTTTTTTCCCATCACTCTCTCTAATGTCTCCATTCCACTGTAATCAAATACATAACCTGCTTGCCCCTGTGTCTTCCCAGATCCATATCCTGCCTTGCTGTGGTATGTTTATTTTCTTCAACAGTCCATTTTTGGTGGACCAAACTAGAAATGGTGGCATCAAAAGGAAGCAGTAAGGCCTAAAATAAACCTCTGTCAAAATGACCCTTGTGTCTCTCTGGTGTCTTCCATCCAGTTCACACTCAGTATATGCAGCCAGGTGCCATGATGTGTGGGTTGGTTCACAAGGGCCATATGGCAGCAGCAGTCCAGAGATGCTTCCAATCTTGGTTATTGACCAGTTCCTTGAGTGGCTTCCCATGTACACTGCACACCAGCAATGACACAATTAGACCACTGATACAGTCAGATTCCTTTCCTGTGTGACATACTACAGGAGAAGTTGGTCTGACATCAGCTGCGAAAGCCCCTGAGGGCAAGTGAGTAAGTAGACACCACCCGTGACTAAGAGCTTCCTGAAAGATGTGGTCAGGTCAGTGGCGGAGCAGCACTGCACACCTCTAGGACTAGCTGCTGGGATGGGATCAACAAGGTGAGACACAGGTCAGCCCCAGCAGAGAGAAAATGCCGCCCTTGGTGTCCGTTCATTGCACACCAGCAAAGTGTGCTGGCAAAGCATGTACTGAAGTGGGCTTGTATGCCTTTGCTTTTTGTGTTTTAATATTCAAGTGACACTTGTTTTTTGGTGTGTGGTAGTCAGTTTCCCATGAGATGTAAACCTAATTCAAAATTAACCACTGACTTAACTGCGTGGCTATTACCTGGACAGATCAACATTGCTAATGTTGATGCTGGAATATAGCATTTTCTCTAGTCTGTCTCAGAAGACAAAATTTTTTGCACTTCTGAACTCCTCACCACTCAAAAGCCAACATGGAGCAGAGGGGACCTGTCAGATATGTCCTGTATTTCATGCCACTGGTGGTCACATGATCTCAGATCAATCTCAAAAGGCATTTTACTTACATGCTTTCTAATACAGGACTTGTGTGGGCACATTGGCATCTCCAGCCCTCTGCCATACATCTCAGAGGGAGGCTTCAGCTCCTCAAATTCTCAAAATATTCTGGGGAAGTTTTGCTACATGCTTTCCTAGTCTCTATGAGGTAGCTGCTGTCAGGGATGGAACAGACCCCTCTTCTTGCTCTTGCATTTATCTTTTCCTGGAAAAAAAAAAAAGAAATAGCTGCTGGGTGTTGTCATGGTGTTGCCTCCTGCTTCCCATTACACTGTGCTCTGCGTGGGCAGATGTCACTTGTTTTTCTTCTTTCTAAGGTGACTGCAGCCAGTGCTGTGATGCTCAGTTAATGCACAAGACCTGCAAAGTTTCCATTTGCTAAGCCTAATGACTTAGACCTGATGTAAATGCAATCCCCAGCACTGCTGCACCTGTCTGGAAAGCTACACCTTACAGCCAGCCTTTGCTTTTCTGCCTCTGCCCTTCACAAAACCAAGTATTGAAAGCTAGAGCCTTTGAGTGAAGCCTGCCAGAAATAATGCCTGCTCCCCCCTGCCTGCCCAAGCCCATCTGTGCCAGTGTCTCCCTGGAGTCCTGCATCCAGGGCTGGTGCAAGTACAGGGGCTCTGCAGAGATGGGATTCACCCACATGATTCCCAGCCAGCCATTTCTAACTCCACAGAGCCTCCAGCCAGGCAAAAATGTTGCTGCTGCAGATTTCAGCCCAGATGTCTATCCAGGGGCTTGGGAGCAGCTTCTCTGTAACTAGTTAGCTAAGAGCACCTTTCCAGGGGAGGACATCCTAGCTGTGGCAGGATGGGCTGAGGGAGGGCTCATCCCCATGTAGCAGCAGAAATGAAAGCTAGCTGAGCTGAGGCAGCAGCAAAGGCAAGGGAAGCGGTTATAGAAAGAGAGCACTGCTGAGCGTGTATGCTCGTGGCCATGTGTCACAGTGGGAGCCTGCATGGAGGGTTATCATCAGTCTTTAAGAACCTGCTGTAAGCCCCTCCTTTGGGGAATCAAAACCACTTCATAATTCACAGGTTTTGGCCTTTATAGGATTTGTTTTCCTACCAAATCCTTGTAGAAAGGGAAAATCTAGAGCTGGTGGGTAGCTTTAAGAAGTTTTTTTGAAACCTCCTGAACTGAAAACGAGTTCTCTTTATCTCCTACTAAATCTCTGCAACTCCTCCACTGACCTCTCTGACAGATCCCCAGGAAGCAAAACAAACACTGGGTTTGGTCTGGTTTGCTCTGCAGAGCAACTACTTGCAAAATCAATGGTGGGTTGTTTTTCTTCTCCTTTGCTCAAGCCAGAAATAGGTCAAACAGCAAACCAACGACATTTCTGAGGCAGCCATGAGTGACTGGTGTATGTAGGTGTACTTCAGAGGTGGCCTCTCTCTGGGGTTAATGTTCTCTTGCCTAAAATCCCGCAGTTTCTTTGTGCTAGAAGAAGGAAGTTGTTTGTTGCAAAGAAATGAAACCACTTAGATTTCCTTGAACGAAGAGGGCAGATTTTTCAACAGAAAATATATCCAATACATCTTCTTACGAAGCACTATGTCCATGATACCCAGTTTTGCTTTTTCATGTTTGTGCTTGAATACTCAGCCCTTCACTAAGACCCTCTCTCATTGGCATTGTGCCTTGACTGTGGTTAGGCTGCGTAAGGCAGAAAACCTTCTTAATGGAAGTGAATGAAAGATCTTACATTGTATGAAACTATTTCAGATCACATATGGCATTGTCACATCTATTCTAAATCACAGAAAAGCTAATTTGGTCACAGCAAGACAGCAATATCCATGCTATTTAGGTCCAGTCTTCAGAAAGGTTGTCCCACTTATTTCCCTTGGAAAATCCCAGCCCTGGTGATTAGCTTTATTTTCTGCACATCTTTCAGATCTTTGCTTGTCTTTTTCAAATGTTTGGCAGCATTTTCAGTGGCACATGCAGTAACAAACCATTGCAAGGGCTTTTGCAAGCAGTCACTGTCTTGGAAAAAATATAGGGGTCTTTGTTTTCTCATGTGCCCCCCTGAGCGTGAAATCAACCCTTCAGAACACACACAGTCAGGGCATGAAAGGTGACAGCCCGCAGCCCATTTAGTATTGCTTTTAATTGTTAGGGCAGCAGAGGAACAATAATTAGACACATGATGTTCTACTTCCTATCTATACTGTGGTTTTTCGTATCAAACTGGCTTGTTTGAAAGGCTGAGTTCTTGGAGCTGAAACCTGGGAGACACCAGGCAGCTGCCACCGATGTACATGGGCTGAGAACTGCTGAAATGTTCCTCTCTGCTTCCTATGAGCAGTCAAGTCAAGTAACAGAAGTAATTTGTGGGCTTTCCCCAGCCAAGGTCATAGGAAAGAATTTTAAGAAAGCAAACAAACTATCAGCCTGTTTTGGAAAATGCAAATTAGAAATGTGCTTTATCGCAGCATCTGAATGGAAGCTGCTCACAGAGGAAAGCAAAGAAAGGCAGAGAGGGGAAATGACCTTCCAAGACCTCTCACTCTGGTGACACGTGGCTCTCTTTCACCAGGGGCTATTCACTAGCATAGCCACTGCAAGAAGCCCAGAGTCCTTTCCTTGCCAGCTTTCTCACTGGTTCTTAAGAAGAGATCAGAAAAGCCCCACTAGATAACACCTGTTGTGCTTGTGTTTGTTTTCTCTCCTTCCACCTAAAGGTCTCTTTCAACATCT